TCGGGGCTGCACTACATGCACGTGGCAGGTATGGAAGCTATACCCCCCCCAAGGCGGTACGATCGAAGACGACGAGGGCCGAGGGTTTGGGATATACGCTTGATTGGCATGTGAGCAGATAGGAGCGACCAGTCTTGAAATGATTGTTGTTTTTGTTGTCGTTGTCGTTGTCGTTGTCGTTGTTGTTGTTGTTGTTGTTGTTGTTGTTGAATCTTCATTCCTAGAAATTACTTTTGATCTCTGGAGACAGTTCCGAACGCTCTCGTCTCGACGCCGGCTACAATCTTTCTGAAAACGAGGCTCCCGCGCGAGCGGTGGCTTGAGTGTAAAAGTGTGCCCTTGGAGGCCCAGCTACGACAACAACGGCTCCCGCTCGATACTTAATCACATTTGACCACCCTGCTCAGGAACGGCGCTCGCGCTCTAGAGTTTCTCGAATTCAACCAAGTTGGCGGAGGCCCAGCCACGACAAGGGTTCCTGCGGGGTACTTCCTCACGATTTACGCCGAGACCGTGGCCAGAAAGGCCCCTAAACTCAGGACGTTGCTCTCGCTCGAGACTTTCTCACGATTCAATCAACGTGGTGGAGGCCCAACTACGACGGCAATGACTCTCGTTCGATACTCCCTCAAGATGTATTCGCTGACGCCCTTGCCAGAGAGGCACCCGAACTCAAAGTGGCGGTCTCGCTCGAGATTCTAATGCAATCCAAGCACGTTGGTGGAGGCCCACCTACAACGACAACGGCTCCTGTTCGATATTCCTCAATATGTACTCCGAAAGCACCTGGCCTGGCCAGAGAGGCCCCCGATCGCAGGAACGGCGCTCTCGCTCGAGGGGTCCTCGCACTTCAGTCAGTGGTCGACAAGAAAGAGATTCCCCCGAAAAGGGGTGCGAACGAAGACGAAGTGGGTATCGAGGGTAGAAGTATACAGAAGGCAAAAAAAAACACGCGTGCCAGTGAGAGCGAACAGTCTTACACTTTGTGTTGTTGTTTCTGGTGTTGTTGTCGGTGTTGTTGTTGGTGGTGGTGGTGTTGATGCTGTTGTTGCATTGATTGTTGCTTGTTGATGTCGTCCCACCCGCGACCCGGCCCGCGACCCGGCCCGCGACCCACCCGCGACCCACCCGCGACCCACCCGCCACCTGCGACCCACCCGCGACCCGCCCGCGACCCACTCGCGACCCACCCACACTACTTTCACGAAAGCATCGGCGCCTGCAGCGGGCTCGTTGCATTTTTTGTGAACATCAGGTGCTTCCGACGAGCTTCTTTAGAGCCTCGCAGACTGCCGACGTCCCCGTCGCCCCCGCACTCCTATCCGCAAGCGTGGGGTGCTACGGTATATGTCGGCGGTGCCCGGCGCGGAGCAAGACCCCCCCCCCCCGGATCGCTCATCCTGGGGGGTCGTCCTGGAGACACCGCCCGTGCGGGCCGGCACGAAACCCCCCAGGATGCACACCCCGGGGGACGCACCGCTGGTGCGGACTATGGTACGGACACCCCCAGGATGCCCCCAACCTCCAGGCCAGGAACGTGCAAGAGCGCCCAGGGAGCGCGTACGAGCGTCTGGCAGCGGCGTCGGCGGCGGCGGCGACGGCAACGGCGACGACGACATCCAGCCAGAAAAGCTCCGGAGGCCCCCGGAACGGGGGTTTCCTGGGAGCAGTTCGTAAGGTTCCAGATGTCCTCGGTCCCTGACAGGTTCCTGGAGGTCCCTGGAGGCCTCCTCCCCGCTCCACTGTACTCCTCGGCGCTCCTCACCGCTGCCCCCGGTTCCTCCCCACTCCATCGCACTTCTCGGCCATACTCGGCACTCCGCACCGTTCCTCCCGATTCCCCCCCGCTCCCACGGGAGCCCCCCGCCCCACTGCCACAGGGGGTGGTAGGTCCGCCAGCGCGCCCGACACGAACTGCCCCCGGACAAGGGGGGAGAGGGTGGTGTTCCAGGTCGTCGGCGGCACCCGGTGCGCCTGGTACGAGACCCCCAGGAAGGCGAGTGGGGTCTTCGTGCTACGGGGCACCGCCGACACATAGAGGTATACACACATATATGTGTATATATATATGTATATATATAAATATGTATATATATAGAGAGAGAGAGAGAGGCACCGACATACTGCACCTCCATTGAAACAGCCTGCAAGACGGCAGAGCGAAGCACTTAACTTTGTGCCGCGGGGCTGGCCAAGGCGAAGCACTTACAGCACCGCCCTACAGTCCATGCACAAGGTGCATGTGCATCCCCAGCGGCGTCCAGCCGTTTATAAACACATGCGCCCACAGTGAGACATCCTCGCGCTGCCGAGTGCAACGGAAGAGCACGATCGCTCCGGGCTCGGAGGAGGAAGAGGAGGACGAGGCGGTGGAGGAGGAGGAGGAGGAGGAAGAGGGAGGAGGAGAAGCGGAAGACGAGCTAGAGCGGCCAAGCAGCACACGCGGTGTCACGCTAGGAGCGAAGATGTAATATTAGGCTACGTGCCAGACGCTCCCCAGGCCAGCCCGCCGAGCCACGTTGTGCGAATCCACGTCTCTCACAGCGCCGATCCATCACAAAAACCGCCCCGGGTGTGCACTACGACTGCGAATCAACACTTCACGAATCAACTAAACAACGGAGCATGCCGCGTGCACCGTGCACGCATTTGGAAGAAACATAAACTATCCATGCATGGTTGGGGGCAGGCGGGAGCGGAGGAGGGGAGGAGGAAGGCCGGCCAGACCGCACGAGACGGGAAAACAACACCTGCATGTCAAAGCCAGGAGAAGCGATGGCAGGCCCGTCAGCAAACAGCAGCGGCGGGCAAGAACAGGGGAGCAGGAGCAGGCGCAGTACCGAGCCGCGGCCAAGCAGCGGACGAACCCCCAGGCATCCGCAAGCGGGTACCCAGGGTCTCGCGAGCCGCGAGCCACACTGCCCGCAGCAAGGGACGGCCCCAGTGGGGGGGGACGCGCCGGACGATTTCTGGATCGCGCGCAGGGGGCCGCACCAGGCGATCGATTGATCGCGCACAAGCGTCCTCGAGGAGGAGAGGGACGGGCGAGAGAAGGGGAAGACGAACGAAGACGGCACGACAACGGGGACGAGAAGGACGACAGCAGTAGGGACCTCGTTCTCCAGAACATCTGCTGATGTTGGCGCGGGTAGTGCCCGCCAGGCGGCTGTCAGGACCTGACACCGCGTGCCAGCCAGCGCTGGGAGACAGACCGCACCCACCAGGCACAGACGGCGCAGAGGCCCGCTGAACGCGGAACAAACAGAGTCCTTACGCGCGGCGGTGAGAGGGATGAAAGAGAAGGGGAAGAAAACGGAGAGGAGGGGGGGAGGAGGAAGAGGAAGAACAAACAGGACTACAGAGAAGAGAATCACGATCGTCGCGGCTTCACCCGCCGTCTGCGGCGCTCCTGAAGCCATAGCTGGAGTCTGCGGACTCTCGCCGTCCCGACCTGGCCAGCATGTATCGCAGTGCGCGGGCGCTCTGTCTCCCAGCGTTGCCGCAAGATTGCAGCCGCTCGAGCGTGGCCATTGACGCCCTCCTTGACGGCCTGCCCCAATGCTCGAAAGCTGGTCCCCCTCTGTGCGCAGGGCGCCGTGGCCGGCATGCCGAAGCCGGTTCGTCACAGAGTAGACCGCGCAGATGCACAAGGCCACGCAGGCGAGGTCCTCCAAGGTCTCCAGCTCGGGCGTGCGCATGCATCCCCCCGCGAAAGCATCTGCGCTGAGGCAGAACCGCGTCCCCAGCAGGCGCCGTACCACCCGGCAGCCGCTTTGCACAGCAAGCCGAGGCTCTGGTGGCGGCGCTGGAATCTCGCCGCTGTGGTCCACCGATTCCAGATGCACCCCCACGTCGCGCAGTGGACTTCGGGGGGGACAAGCTCGGGTCGGGCGAAAGGGGGGATAGCAAAGGGGGGGGTGAGAATCAGCTCACGTAGCTGATTTTCCCGGCGCCTCCCGGCGCCGGGGGGCGCCCATGTATCGAGGAATGGGCCCGGCGGCGGGGCCGAAACCAGCTGCATGCAGCAGATTTCGTACCCCCCCCTTTCCCAATCCCCCCCTTTCGCCCGACCCGACAAGCGCACTCAAGGCCAAGAGGTTGGAGTGCCCCTTCGAAGCCTGGTAGCTCGGCGTCTGTTGGCGAACCGTGCCAGGGATCCGACCGTGGACGCCAGCGTCACGCAAACTCCAAGCCTCGAGCTTGTGCAGGAATCGTCCTTCCAAGTCGCCGAGGTTGTCTGCAACGTGGCAGTCGTAGCAGGTGGCCTGGAACTGCCGGCGCCAAGCGGCGTCCTGCGCCAGCGCGGCGGTAGACCCACCCCAGGCGACGCGGACGTCGTTCACAGCTCCGAAGCGTGCCTGCAGATCGTCGTCTGTGTGCTGCAATCGGAGGAGGAAACTGCGCGAGTACCAATCGGTCCACTCCACTCCAGGGCATCAGCATTGGTCCACGCCTGTCGCAGCTGTGGAACTGACGCTGGCTGTCGATGCCTCTGCCGCAAGGAAGAACGCGCATCTGCGACGCCGCTGCCATCCATTCCAAGTTGTGGAACGAAGCGGCCCCGCCGTAGGCGTCCCGAAACAACCACAGGTCCATCGGGGAGGCCCACGCAGTGGGTCCAGAAGCCAGCTGGAAGAGCGCAGACGGCGCAGCCGTTACGGTGCATCCTTGTACTTCTTCCAGCGCATGCTCGTCAGGCCATTCCAGCTGTGCCACGTAGAGAAGCGTCGGCGAAATAAACGTGTTGAAGCCCCCCGCCTGCTGCGCCACGTGTATATATATATATATATAGATATAGATATGTGTATGTGTATATCTATATTTGTATACATATATACACACAAACGTGTGTGTGTGTGTATATGCATACATATGTGTATACATCTATACATATATATATATATACATATATATATATATAAATGTATACATATAACTATGTATTGGTATGTATACAAACATATGTGTGTGCATATCTCCCCGCGCGTCTTGGGGGAGGCCTGCCGGCAGAGGCGGCATCGCCTGGTCCGCCGCCCCGTCGCCAGCGATGCCACACCTGAGCGGCCCCGCGCCCAGGACTCCCCCCAGGACCCAGACCCCCGACGTCGTGATTCTTTCACAGCGTCGACCTCACAGGTCTGGACCTCTTCCCCGGGACCGGTGTTTCATCCCGAATAATTGTCTGACTGACGGTCCCGGGGCCCGGTGAGGGCCCCCCGAGGCCGAAAATAGCGAAAAACCTCCCGTCGTGATTTTTCCACAACGCGCGGGGGTCTGGGAATCGATGATTGCCCCACCCAGAGGACGGAGTCGCCGATGCCGCTGCTCCCCAGAAGAGGGTCCAAACCGGAGGCGAATCCATCCGTGGTGACGAACGGAGGGTACTGGGATCGGCGCGGGGGGTGCTCATGGGGATACAGTCAGCCAGCCCGTATCATAAGGATGGGCGAGAAGGATGCAAGGGCCTTGGAGGGCCATGTCAATGTTTTTCGGGCGAGGTTGGCCAGCGAAAGTCGCAAGGAATTGGCCGAAGGGACAAAGATACAAGGATAACCTTGGGAAGGTTGCCCATCCTGGCTATGCGGGTTGACTGTAAGGGGGTAATCAGTGGATGCCGCGGTGGGTCAGATCTGGCCTAACCTAGCTTCTAAGTGTGCTACAGAGGCCCCATGCGGCTTAGGAGGTTAACGGCCAGGGCGAAGTGGGCTCCACCCACTTAGCAGAGTCATTTACCCCCTAAACCACCTGGGGCATCTGTAACGCACCCACAAGCTAGGTTATGCAAAATACCACCCACCTGGGCATCCGCTGATAACCCACCCACGCTTTCCACGCAGCACCCCCGCGCCAATCCCAGTGGCGGTATCGCTACTGTTCCCTCCCCTGAGTCCGGCAGACACCTCCAGGGGCCACCAACACCAGGAAAACCAACAGGTACTGATACCGCTGACCCCCAGACCTCTCTCAGGGTGCCTTCTGATTCGAGGCGAGTCCAGCGGTGACGACGATGACCTCCCAGGAGGCTCACGAAGGGGAAACCGAGGAAGGGCAGCGGTGTCGGTACCTATTTCTCCCAGGAGAGCTCAGCATTGAATCGATCAGTCGGATCGACGATCGAAATCAATCGGATCGGCGGGAATCGGCAGCCGAGTCGGGAGCCGTCGAGTCGGCGGAAATCGGCAGACTAGGAAGGCCTCGCTGAGAAATCGGAGCCCACGTCCGAATCCCAAGTCGAACCGAATCGGAATCGGAAGCCATCGGCATCGTCATCGAATCGAGCCGAAGGAATCGAGACGAGCCCTGCCTTGGGGGGGGGGGGGGGGGCAAACCAGCACCTGCATCGCTGCTCCCCGAACCTGTCATCGGGGCGCGTTCTGACCCGAAGCTGTCGAGGAGGAGCCAGCCGGGACGACGAGAGATCGGCAGGAGAAGCAGCGCGATCGGCGCCTGCACCGCCGCTCCCCGAACCTGTTATCGGGGTGCGTGCTGACCCGAACCTGTCGAGGAGGAGCCACGCCGGGACGACGAAAGAGCTGCCAGAGGAGCAGCGCGATCGGCACCTGTCCCTCCTGTGGTGCGATCCTCCTCCGAGGCACCGCTGGGCCCGAGGCCGTGGCGACAGCGGCGCCTCGGGCAGCCGCGCGCCCGCGGGCAGGCCGAGCGACAGGGTGCCGTCCGGGCTCTGCAGGAGTATCGCCTGGCGCGCTCGCGCGCGCGCGCCGACTCCGCCAGCGCCCCAGGGGCTGGGGCTCCGAGGCCTGGCGCCCGCGTCCTCCTCCTGATGCTGATCCCTGATCCTGACCCTGATGATCCTCCTCCTCCTCCTCCTCCTCCTCCTCCTCCTCCTCCTCCT